TGCTAGTGGGAGGGTGGGAGAGGTAGTGGTTGGCTTTGTGTTTTCAAATTCAATTGTCCACAATATAGTAACAGAACCCAAGCTTCCTGTGGTTTGCAGTAATAAACCTTAACTCGGGTTACATCCGAGGCAAAAAGGACTTCAAATGGTCAGGAAAAAACACACAGTGATGTGGACCTGTAATAAGGTCGAGGCCTTAAGCTACAAGACCCTGCAAAGTGACAAAAAGTTCAACCTCTGAACTCCATCCCTAAGCTCTGCTAGCTCTGAGGTCTGACCTGGTTGAAAAACAGCTTCCTCGGCCTTGCAGACCTCCTTGTCTCTTCAAAGACAGTGAAATTGGGAGTCTTTTAGTCCTGGTGGTTTACAACAAATTCTCTGGTCCACCCCCAAAAATTGAGATCAGCTTGGAGAAGAAAAATAAGCAGTGCAATTACAACACAGGGGCCAGATTATTTATACAAAATAATGAATTTGTTTCTATACATGCCAATCATCTCACCCAAAAGGGAGTTTATTAATTCTTTTTTTTCACTAGGAGCAAAGCGCTGCAGCAGAAGCATGTGTCTAGTCCATGAAAATGTTTGAGGCATGTGGAAAACTTACACCCAACCAGTGTTGATACAAAGTGATTAGTTTATTATAGAAGCCGATGGACTGAGTACATGGGTATTTGCTTCCATGTTGTAGCGGTAGCATGACGGAGATCCGGACGGGCGTCCTGATGCACTGAATGACGACACGGTCACGGAATTTGAGATGGGGAGGCGGCGTGTGGCCAGAGGTTTGCCACACAGGACAGGAGCACCATGAACAAGGGGAATTATGGTTGGTGGTGGGATGATGAATGAAGTTACTCATCCTTCCATTTTGTTTCTACAAGGCGGCCGTGCCCCTGCTGCCCGCCTGTCCTCATCCTTTTTGCTTATTGCCACAGTAACCTGAAGCTGGGATGAAAGCGACCCCCTAGGGAGAGAGGAGTTTTCTCTTTGAGGGTGAGGAGTCCCCTTTTCCTGCTTTCTTTAGGGGCTGTACACACGGCGCTGTGTTTTTGAAAATAAGTGTGGGTTACAATGCAATCATTTAGGTTTAAATTAGATTGACAGGGTATCGAATATGATGAAACTCAATTACAGCCCTATTATAGCTTAATTGACTTACATGGATCCAAGGCCAGAGGTTCACACCAAACAAGTACAGAGGTTTCCTGCTTACCCGGGGCCTGTTCTTATTAAGTTATGGGGGGCCCAGTGTGATTGATGGGTACACATACAGGCCTGCTTCTTCTGAGGATGTGGGTAAGCCTCTGTGTTGACAGAATCCATAGTAATTCCTGATAGGACTTCTTCCCAAAGATGTTCTTACTCTTCAGATATTTAGCTGAAATATTAAAAAAATATTATATTCTTAAAGAAAACTTCTATCAGGCCCACACAAGACGATTAAAGGTTTCTCATAGTGAGTCAAGAGAAGGGAGGTTCACTGACTTCCCTGTAACCCAAAGGACACCGAGGCCGCCAGCAGGTCGCGCAGCTCAAAACAGATCAGAGTCCTGAAACGGGACGCTCCCGTTGCTTGATGAAATGTCAAAGGGTCTAAATGTAAACGGGTGCAACAATGTAAACACAAGGGCCCACATAATCAAAGTGTTTCCACCTGCAGTGACAGAGCCATCAGTTCTGGGCATGCCGGTCATTACCTCACAGTCTTCTGGTGCTCAGAGGGTAACCTAAGAGAGGCCAGAGCCTGGCTTTGGCTGATTCAGAGGAAGGAAAGAGCAGGAGCAAAAGGGGCATTTTCCTCTACCTCACCTCAGAACGTAAACAGTGAAACAGTCTGCAGACCTACAGGTGCCTCCAAGTCTTTCTGCCCAGAACAAGGAAGGTTGTCTGGAGAGAAAATGGTTTGTTCTTGTTTACAAAAAGGTTCAACCCCAAAACCTGTGAGCCCTGAACTCTTGTCCAAGAATTCTGTTAAAGTTAAGAAGGCCTGCTGCACCTCGCAGCCCTATAACATTTATAGAGCTGACCTGATGGCAAACATATTAGTTCCTCACTACAATATACAATTCAGGTGGCTGTGGCGAAGGATGATCTTTCCAATCATTCTCTCACTTTTTCTCGCTCTTATAAGTCAGCATGGCAAAACAATTACCTGATAGCAAACCAGGAATGAGCATGACAAAGTGAGTGACGTCTGGGAACCCAACACCTTATGAAACGATGCCCGACGTCTCATAACATTTTTACACATGACAGCATGACTGCTCTCCTGAGGGGCTCGTCTGAGCGCTAATCCATACGGCCCGCCACTAAGTCAGGCAGAGGAGGAGCAGGGAGACAAAACTGTGTTAATGAGAGCCAGATCTACTCTGTTAGCCTAGCGCCTGGCTGCATGCTCAGATACAGACAGCGGGACAGAAAGCAGTCCATCAAGCTGTCCCGGCAGAGCTGCTCTCAGGCTTCTGAGGCAACAAGGTGGGGCAGGACAAGATGGGTTCTAGAAGTTTGGCATGTCACTATGTCTGGATGTGCCAAAGGCTGTTAGTTCTTCCTTCCATCTCCACAACAGCCGAACTTCCTTGAAGTATTTTTGTTGTCGCTGTGCAGCCATAGGAAGTCTACGGCCCAGAAACCGTAGCACTCTATGAATGTGAGTCACTACTGCTGATCCATTGCCAATGGTTCCATATACTGTATCTTATGGGTTATGGGTTATGATGAGGTCAGCCAAAGAATGATGTTTTTCATGTTTATTTTGTTCAGTTTTAAAAAAAACTGAAAAATCTCATCAACTATCGGATGAGTTGCCATGAAAGTTTGTACAGACATTTATGGTCACCAAATGGTCAGCCTCAGCTGAACTTTGTGTTTAGTGCTAATTAGCAAATGACAGCATGCTTTTATGCTATACTTCGCTAACATGGCACACATTATATCTGCAAAACATTATCATTGTAAGCATGTTAGCATTCAGATGTTAGCACTTACAATTATATTAATGCATAAAGAAATGAATACAATTATGTGGAATATACACATTCTTTTAATGCTTTCCTACCCTGGCAATCAACTTACAACACCACAGACTTATTTTGCAATGCCAACAACGAGACACCCTGGTTGGCAACAATTTATCTGCATGTTATTTTTCTGAAACCATGTCTAATTGCACTGGGTTCAGCAATTCAGTTTCCAAACATCAGTGAGGCTTCTACACACCGCCCTACCTCTCATGATGTGACAATACAAGGAATGTCTATCTACCAGCTTTGTAAATTACAATAAAAAAAATATATAAAAAATATTAAATCTGTCAGCTCAGCCCCATGAGTAGCTGATGTTTTTCCAGTGTAGGCACAAGGAAACAGCAGCGGTACAGCTCAGCACATGGTTGGACCACATGAAGGCATTATTACGCTGTATGCCTCCGTTGTTGTTTGACTGAGACATATTTCCAGACGGCTGCCTGGACTCGCTCTGGCTGCCAGCCCCGGCCCTTTCATAATCGCCCAGGAATTATGCACATCCCAGTTAAAGCACTGGTAGAGTGAGTTATGGCTGTGGTGGTGTTTCCTGAGAAGTCTGCCAAAAAGATGATTTAGATAGATCACACGTCTGGGGTCTGGGGGTTCCTCGGACACTGTTTAAACACAAGTCTTTATTCTGAGGACACAGGAATGTGAAGGGCGCTGAGTGAAAAACCCATCACCTAACAGTGACATTTCCAACATGGCAACGATGGCAGCAGAGTTATTGGTTATCTGTTATGAAGGTTTGAAGTGATTTCTAGAAAGGACTCATTCTTCATTATTAATCACCGTCCCTCTTCAAATAACAGTTGTCAACGGCTGGATTAACACCGACATATTCACTTCTATTCACTTAAAAAAGAATTTTATTTAGTTTAATACATTGGGCGGCTTGTAGTGAAATATGTATACATTCAGCTTTACAATTCATACAGGAATTTTCCCACCAAATTCCTAAAATACACACAATTTACAACTTAAACATGTTTTAACATATATCTGAACACAAAAAAGACAGCTTAATAAGTAAAAGCCTACTTTTTGTCTTATTACACAGTACCATTAAATTCAAATGGTAAACCTGTATGTTTAATGTTTTATTTCCAGCTAAATATAAGTTAATGTGTTTATAGTAAACAGCCTCTGAAGGTCATTCACTGGACAAACAAACATAAAAGAATGGCACGCAGAATTTATCATGCAATAAAAAGAAATTAAAAAAAAAAAAAAAAATTCCCATCTGTGATAAGACATGCTTGTTACCCATGTCTCTTTCACCATCCCTGTTACGTCAAGCTCTCAGAACTACATTTCCCAGGATTTCTCAGACCATATAACAGCACTCGAATACTACAAACATAGTCCGGGGTCAGCGGTACAGTACATTTATAACTGCCTCTCAGATACAAACACAGAGATAGGAGTACTGTGAAATCCATTAGCAATGTGGAGCACGCAGCTCTTTGATTTTCCAAATTCAGTGGAAACACCCTTATGACTCACTGCCCTGTTTAATATTGAACACTTTTCCTTTGTCTATGCACAGTCAAAGGAATCTATATGAAAGACTGTAGCAGTCCTAGTGATATTACTGATATTATCTGTCTGAGTGGGGGAGTACAAGTAGGTCGCACTCCATTAAAGCAACTCGTTACAAAAAAGGCGTGCAATTTTAAGAGGTTCCCTCTTCTTCTGCACCCAGTGGAAAGCTTGCTGGTGCCAATCTCTTTGATTTATACACTCTTCAAAACACACCAAAGGTTTGAAGTCCAAGTCAATAAAAGCAGTAAAACGTCATTCCAACCACTTGGTAACTCTATTATATTCTGAAGAAATGAGGCAGTTGTGTGGACAACAGAGACGCATGATCCAACTCATAGCTGAGAGTGGTGAGATGGAATACAAGATGGGTCGGCTTGATAAGCTTCTCTATAAGCAGCATAATGTTCATAGGGTCTGTGCCGGGGGGGGGGGGGGGGGGAATCAGGATCAAGCACAGGACAGAGCTGAGGAAAGATAAACACTGGAGGAAAATCGGCCCTGCACTGATACAGATGTGCTTGCTAAGGCGAGATGCTCCTAGAAACAAAAGCATGCTGGAGACAAGAGGAGAACCTTGGTCAAAAAAAGTTTTTTTTCTATTCTCATGATCACGCTTCAGAGACTTATCCATTTGTCTGACAAACTTTGGTTTATACCTTTGGACTTAACCGTCCTGTTAAAAATTAAATGCCAAAGCACAATGAGAAACTGAAAATAGAGTGTATTTCGACCAAGGTCCTTAAAACTGCACAAAACTGTAACTCAAAACAAAACAGAGGAGAGTCAACTCACTCAAATTCCATTAAGAGGAAGGCTGAGCTGCATTTGCATTTTAGCGCAGCGTTACTATTAGAAAGTGTGCAAAAAAGTAGTGTCTGTGTGAACACAGGTAGAGTGTGTAGGACGGTCAACCCTTACAGCTCAGCGGAGGGGACACAGTCAGACCTCCACTGCCTTCATGTCTGAGTCGGGAGCTCAGCTCAGGACAGCACACAGTGGGAAGAGGGGAGTTCTTTCAAGTGTGTGTGTTTATGTTAGTGTTTGAGTGTGTGACACTGTGTGAGGTATTCACACGTGTGTTTGAACATGTGTGTGTGTGTGTGAACATGTTTGTGTACTTTGTGTGCGTGTCGTCTAGACCAGGGAGCAGTAGCCACCGCAGGATCCACCTCCCGCGTCCTCGTCGGTGAGCTGGACTCCTCGGCCGTGGTTCTCGCTCTGCCATAAACCAGGAGTCTGGATGATCTTCTCCACCAGCTCCTCAAATGCACACTGAACACCATCCCTGGTCTTAGCACTCGCCTCTAGGAGCATAGAGTGTGGGGGGGTGGGGTGAATGAGCGGAGGGGCAGGAGCAGACAGAGAGAACGGCAAAAAGTAGTGAGACAAACAAGAGGAAAAGAGAAATAACAAGGGCAAGAAAAATGAGAATTGGGTGTGGGGAGACGGAGGATGGAAATAGAAAAGAAAAGAAAATGAGACACAGATACAACAACTGTTAATGTCTGCATCTTGATGTCATCATCTGGCGGTGGTGGAAAATGTCTCAACAATAACTGTCATCTCCAGACACTAATAGTGGACCTTAGGAGGTTATTAGGAGATATAGTTAACACCCACTCCACAGTATGATGATATCCAGAAACATAATAGTAATGACCACAGGATTAAGAAATAAATCTTATTTAGAAAGCCAAACCTGAAATAATACATTAGGAAATGACGTGGAAAGTAAAGAGTGAAACCCCTCCATGTCAACAAACATTTTTAAAATGACATTTTTCAGTATTTAATGAAGATAAAACTTATTTTTTTTAACATGAAATGCATGTCACTTCAACTCGTTTGCGGAGTCATTTACTGACAAAAGTGAAAAATAAAGGCACAGGGGAAAAACAAGAGCACATGGAAGATGATATACGAAGCCCTTTTTATAAATAGAACTATGCAAGCATTCCTCAGCAAGTATGATAGTTATTTCAAAAGCTGTTTCCCCTTTGTAACAGTCTGCTGTAACTCATGCCCAGCAGATCTTTGCAGAGCAGGGAATCCTCCTGACTTACCTATAAAAAGCATGGAATGTTTTCTTGCAAACTTCAGCCCTTCGGCCCTGTCTAGCTCGTGGTTTTCCTAAAACAAAAGAGAGGTAATGACTTATTTGAGGTCTGCCGGGCGGAGCTGTCAGCTACTGTGGTCTTCACAGGGCAGAGAGGAAAAGTGATTTTCATAGACAAAAAACAGGACACAATAAATTCATAATGCTCTACTTAGTGGGCATTTTTATCCCCACTGACTGATTCTGGTATCCTGGTAAAGAACCAGCTGCCAGAAATATGAAAGTGGTGCTGCCATGGTCATTCAGTTCTGTCATTTGTCAAATGGGTTTAAGCTGGCTTTTTTTATTTTTTTTTTATTTTTTTAAAGATACTTATTTCTGGCAATTCATTTCACCGTTCTACAGAATATATGCTTCTACAAGGTTAGTGTGTATTTCCATTTTTTTACATCTCAAGTTACAGAAAAAACTATTTTAACATTTGTCCAAAAAAAGAAAAAAAAAAAAAGTAGATACCATTCAAACTTATGAATTTCTTTGGTCATAACAGTTCAAACCAAGGCAAAAAGTACTGAGGATGAATGTTAATGAGCTGCCTATATCTAATCAAACAACCTTGTTAGCCTAAGTTGGAGCACAAACACTTCACATACAAACAAAAACTCACGCACCTTATCAATTTTATTTCCAACAAGCATTTTCACAAGGTCGTTCCTTGTACAGTACGTCTCCAGCTCATTGAGCCAGTTATCAAGCTTGGTAAATGTTTCTCGCCGTGTGACATCATACACTGTGGAAAACCAAATGAACAAAACATGCTCACAATGACATCAATTACTCTATATACACATTATACATCATAAAACAATTGACCAATAAGGCAGAATGGGAATTATTATATGCAGGCCATAACAGAAAGTTGTGTATTGTTAACTTCTAAACATTTTCTTCAAGAGTAATTAAATCTAATGGGCCTTGGATTTTAAGATATATTTGCCTGCTAAAAGGCAGAGACCTAATTAACTTTTACTACTGAGTTATTTCAACTTCAAAAAAAAAAATTGAAAAACAAGCAAACCTTGATTAAATAAAAACAAACAAATAAATAACTAAAATAATATAGTACCAACTAAAAGCACAGGGATTTAAGTTTTCTGATAGTATCACATTGGGAGCTCTCGTAATCCCAGTGCTGAAGCAAGGCGCCTTCTGTTTCTTTATACAGTGGTGCAAAAGTCTGAGACTACTTTCCCGAAAATGGTCTCAGACTTTTGGACCCCACTGTATCATTAGAATGGTCAAAAACCATTGGCTTCAGAGGAAGTCTGTTTTAGAGGTTTAACTAAGTTCCTGTGTGTGTGCGTGCGTGTGTGCGTGTGTGTACACTCTGTATATGCATGTCCATATGAGGAGGGTATAAACCAGCTTCCAGAGACACAGGCAAGCGGGTGTGCGTGTGTGTGGGTCACAGGATGAAAAGTCATCACTCTTTTTACAACCAGGGGCCTGACTCTGAAGCAAAGAGGGCAAACACACACACACACACACACACACACACAAACACAAGCACGCGCACACACACACACACACACACACACACACACACACACACACACACACACACACACACACACACACACACAGTCATGATGGCGTCAACAGCTTTGCTTACCCAAGATGACTCCCTGGGCACCACGGTAGTAACTAGGCGTCAGGGTTCGGAAGCGCTCCTGTCCTGCAGTGTCCTGCAAAACACAACCAGCTCAGCACTGCTACTGGACACACACAGGAAAAACTGGTGGCTCAAACAGAAGGAAAACCAGGGCAGATAAACAACAAGTCTGACTCCTCTCTGTCCCTCAAGGAGCATGTAGGCAGAAACAGTGTTACAAAAGCGCCATCTTCTGGAGACTTGAGAGAATAGCCAAACTGTAGTTATGGAGGAGTTTGACAATTAATCTCTTTTCTCTGACTAACAGACAAAAAGCCACGTTTGTTGCTGTTGAAGTGTTGTAGACACCACAGAGAGTGACACTTACCCATATGGCCAACTTTGCCTTGTTACCGTCCACAGAAATGGTCTTCACTTTAAAGTCAACACCTAGACAACGAAAAGATAAGCGATCAGTCATACCTTCATGATTACCTCATCCTGCTTCAGTACCAATTTGATGACTCTTACAGGTTTGGCCAATTACTGTCAAGAATATTATCATGGTGACAGACTATGATTACCAATGATGAATTGTCAAAACATACATACCACACAATGTATCTGAACTTCTGTTAACCCCAGCTACTCACACTGGCATTATGCCTGTCCCATGTCCTGCATTTAAATTATAGTGTGACTATGTATTCAGATTAAGCATGAAAGGATGATGTGGTTTAATGTCTTCAACTGAAACCAATACAGGTCTGTATAAACAAAAAATATATGTATAAAAAACCACCACCTGTGAAATGGCTCAGACAGCAATGAATCAACCCTAAAATCCCTGCCAGGTCCCAAAGGAACAGACATTTACACGAAAATAACAATGTTGTCCCCCTTCCCCTCAAAAAGTAAATCTCCTCTATTGCCTTTGTGCAGTGTCTCAGTGCGCAGAGTGTGCAGTGTCTGGATGACAAATTGGCCCGAGTATTAGCATCCACTGACAGATTTACCAGGGAAATGTACACTTGTGATGGGACTGTTTTTACATCTGGGACTGGGGAGTTGCGTTCAGTTCAGAGCCAAACAGAAGAGGAGGGAGGGGACATGAAGACAGGCCAGGGATATATGACACACAGTATGTGTACCGCACACACTCACACACATGAATGTACAGTTTGTTCACACAGTCAATCACAACAACTAGCTCTTTGTCAAGTCCAGCAGAGTTGCTCAGATACTGTTGCCAGATGTACGAGGAGAGGAGTTTACACTAAACGTTTCCATGAACCCGTACCAGTATCTCCTGCTTTAATTTACTATAAATTCAGATAGGCCTCACCCCAAGAAAACATACAGTAAAGCATGTGTTTGTCATATCACAACACAATAAGATGCCACTGCCACTTGAAGTCAAGGCTGGGCTGATCTCTGCAGGCCAACCTTTGTAGTATCATATCAATACACCAACAGCATCGCAACACATCAAACTAAATTTAAAAAACAATAACAATTACTGTAAACACATGACTTGGTCAGCAGCATTACCATGTATTGTCTGTCTTTCACCTTTAAGTAACTAAAAGCTAAATTTATCAATGCAAGTGTCGTCACAGCTGCTCATCTGTCTGCTGATTATCTTAAGCCCCATTACAGTGATTAATTCTTGCCAATATTATCAGTGCTAATGTGACAATGTACTGAGAAAGCTCTACTCACAGGGAGAAATACAACCTGAGATGAACTGCTTTAGGTGGTGAGAGTGAAAATACTTGAATTGAGATCAAGTGATACTGGATTAAAAGTGATTTTTGTCTGAATCTGAGGGGACTTGAGTCATTGAGAGAAGCGTAAGTCCAATGAAGACATCTGTTTTGCAAAGAATCGCAGATGGCCAAGTACAACAGTAGCGATCCATGCGTTGACCTTGAAGAAAATATGTTTTTACTGTTTCAACCTTGTGGAATCTGTGCTGTTCGTTGTTTTAACAAAGACAGCATTGTGAGCTGCAAGCTTCACAAAAAATATTCACATTAGTTAGGGGAGAAAAAATTAATTCCATATCTCATCAAGAGGATGACAAATCTTGAACTGTTGAATTCTTTAATGAAAATAAACCCATTAAGGTAGTTACAGCCTGAAGACCACATGAAAATATAGCAGATGTGTCCTTGGTGCATCGAATGATTTATGCCATTATAAGAAGCTGATGTCATTTGCAGGTTCACCAGAAATTGGAAAAAAAACTCCACTTGTAAAAATAATAATGTACCACTATGTTCACCATTTGACCAGATAAGACGGATCGTCTGGTCTGCTGTAAGGTTTTTTCACACTCCTCATTAAGTTTAAAATACATCAAATGGCTTTGTGGCTGTGAAGGTGTGTGGTATTGAGGTGACTTTTACTTTGAGCTTGCCAAGTGCTCATACCTTCTGTTAGCAGACATCCTAACAGGCAACATGTCTGTTCTGTGACCTCAACTTGACTATGATTCCACTACAAAAAATGTTTGACTTTTAATTTCTGTTTTAAATTATATTTGCAATAAATACTGGATGTGCAACAGACACAGGCAGCGAGTGTGGTGTTTGAGCCAATTCTGGTTCTGGAGCAGATAACAAGGGCTGTGGATTTGTTGCTCAATACAATGTACAGTATCTGCCAGCAGCCTCAGCGGGGCCTCCATGCTAGGAAGCAGAATGAACAACAGTTCATGTCCACTTTATTGAATATGGAAGACATTGTAGTCTACAGCAGTCGTTAATAGTTCTTAAAAACTCCAGACAGACATAATGAACTTTCTCTGTCATTCGACCCTGTTAGTCCCAGAAGAATGCCGGTGTTCTGCCAAACTGTTTAATGAGGCTCACACATGGACTGATGATACATGTATTTCACTGTCAGTCACCAAATCAATAGCTACTATCAGTCTGAGCAACACGAGCAACACAAGCAAAGTTTGGTGGTGTCCCATTCTCCTTACTGGGAGAAGAAGCTGTATAGACTTCACTTAAAAGTTGTTTGTGTTACCTGTTGGTTATAATGCTTTAGCAAACTATTCAGAGACAGGTTGACCAGAGTAAAAGTTACTTTGGGCAAATGTTACTCTTAATTCTGATAAAATGCATTTTGTCACAACATTTTTCTAAGTTAAACCAAATTCTACATGTTTATATAATATATCATAAACCTTGAAGGAAATTATTCCAATCAAATATCTTTTCACTGTGAAACAACAACAAATTAAATGTGCAACACATTTGTTTAAGGCATCTGAGAGGCAGAATGAATTGAATTGAAGTTGAAGTGTTTTAATGACATTAGCATTTGTTGTGCAGTCCGACCGCTGGCTTCATCAACTTCAGGGACAAATTATGTTAACGTTAACAGAGCTCCAGGGAAATTCTGACCTATTATGGTGCACAAAATTTACAATGTACTTTACTTTGTTTAAATATATTCTTTTCATTAACGTACACTCCCTGGCCAGTTTATTAGGTACTCCTATACAATCTCATGCAATCCAGCACAACAACATTTATGAGGCTTATAAAGGCCAGTTCTTGTGAAAACTTTGAGGTGTTCAACTATATGTTTATTACTGAGGTCGTAGTTAGTGATATTGTTGTACTAAACTGCATTTAACTGAAATCTGTTTCTAATATTATCCCTGCTCGTGTTAGTAAATGGTGTGGGAAAACATTAAAAACAACTCCCAATATAATTCAGTCCAGTTCAACACCACAGAAAAGTACAAAACTCAACTTCAGACCAGAGTGTATTAAAGGTTGTGGCACCACCATGCGATTCATTAAGTCTTATTTTTATTTTACTTTTTCATTAGCTGAGCTCAGATGTGTTACTCACCTATTGTCGCTGCCTGTTCTGGGTCAAAGGTGTCATCTGTGAATCTTAAGAGGAGGCTGTTGACAGGAGGAAGGAAATAAGGAGATTAGGACACATTATTAATCACTAACAAACACAGCACAATGGCTTTTTTCAGCAATGCTATTCAACACAGGGTGAGCAAGCTTTTGGTCTGAGATCAGGTTTCCATTGTCTGACTCATAACTTGTCCTGCGGCACCAGACTTATCTAATTCTGTATCGCTTTCTCTTTCTATTGATCACTTTGTCTTTCACTTGCATTACACATACAAGCTCCGGATGATATCACCGCTAGATTGTAGTCAGCAGGACAGGGTTCATTTCTTAACTATGACTAATCAAGTGCAAAGGCCTTAATCACAGCACTGATGATGGGAATAAGCTCACTCTTTTGCCTTGACCCATGTATAATTCTCTTATTATGCCTCATGGGCCATCAGGAGGGATGCTGGAGAAAGAAGTGTTTATTGTCTGAGGTCCATACAGCCGATGAGCTGTGCTTGGAGACTGGCAAGATAAAAATGTATTCATTTGTTCAGGTACAATGAAACTTGTGTATTCCTTGCCAGGCAGACATCCCCCTGATCATCTGAGGGCCTCGACAGATTGCAAGGAAACATATTCAATATCTGTATGCTTTTCAAAAATGAGTCTTGTCAGTGTATCTTTTTGACAACTGCACAACTGGCTCAGGAAGATTCAAACAATGACATTTGAAAATAATCTTAGTCTGAATTAGTTTATTGTATTAAGCAAAAGCCTATTTAATAATAACACAAAATTACTTTCTGGAAAAAATGCCCTTGGCCTGAATGATGCACTAGCAGGCAGCTGGACACACAAACTTGTCTGTTTTCTGGAAATATAAGCAACACTGTCTACGTTACAGTGTTGACATAAACCCAGTCCCTCCTCTGTGCTTACTCACTGCCATCATAGCATGCAAACTACCAGTACCACGGGATAAAATGTGAAAGAAAAATTTCCATAAACTAAAACAGACACACACCCTTGATTAAAATGACAGTACTTTGATATCATCAATAAATAAAATGGGATAATAAATGGGATAATGCCAAGAATGTGAATAAAGGAAGAAAGAAATGACAAAAGAGTGATAATAATTGCTACTGACACTGTGGCAACATTACTGCTGACAGTATGTGATCCAAACAGCATGAATTAGTACAAACATTTGAGATTATTTACAACCTTCTGGGCTAACACGGGGATGATCCAAAATGAGAGTGTATTCCCATGTCCCCTTATACAGTTGATCCCTTGTTGATCATGCTGAAGATCCTATTCTTGGAATTTGCCATACAAAAAGGCCTATATCCTTCTGGGGTTCATGTTGCAGTTTGTTATTTTGAGAACTTAAGGCTTGGTCATCAGTGTGCACTGAAAAATGATTTTTTTTTGGCTGGACAGTTCACTTATCGAAAGGCTTACATTCAAAGCTTTGAGCAGCTCATTATCTATGTACCGTGCTCTGGCTCTGGAAGGCACGCTGTACTAGATACCATAGCTTGCAATGTGATGGTTGATGGCTCAGGCTGGCTATCAGGATTCTTTCATGCAGTCTGGACCACAGTCATGGAGACCAGAAAACCTGACCGAGCTCTCTGCTGGCAAACTACACAGTAGTATAAACTGCCAGACTAAAGTTGGTAAAAACATTATACTCTGCTTAGAATATTAGGCTGATTTGTGGTTGCTAACGAGGACGCCGATTACCATATAATGACAAAAATCAAATGTGTGGTAAAAGCCATGCAGCCTTTTAGAGTCCTTCTACAGAAGCTCACTTAAGCATGAACCTCTTCAATTAAGCTATTACATATCTGCTCTTCATTATGATGTGTGAACCACTTGGTGTTGGAGATGCTACCACTACAATTACAGTAAAAAAAGATCAGAAACAGAACAGCAATCAAATTATCTACATCATTAACCTGAATACTCATCATGTAATTGCTAGCTTAGATAAGTGTCCGCGCCCCATCCAACTATGTCATACGTGAACAAAGATGATGTCACTTACAGAGGTTAGCGGTACAGCCAACACACCACACGCCTTAATTTATCTTACAATAACCAAGGCAGTGTGGCCTCTTTTCTATTTAAAAAAGAGGACAACCACACTGAGACGTCTACCTTATTTTAAAACGCTGCTTTATCTTTAAACTTCACATTATTTTGTTGGCTGCTAAGCTAACGTCAGCTAGCTAACGCTAGCAGTAAGCCACGACATCAATTTCTTGGAGATAACTTGAGCTTACCTAGACTTCCCAACACCACTTTCTCCTATTATCAGTATTTTCAGCGTCGTTAGTGTGTCTTCTTCCATTTTCCCTTTACAGTGAGCTGTGTTACTCTCGATAAACAGCTACAACAGACTGTTTGACACGACGTGTCCAAACAACTTGCGTCCCTGTTTACAGCTCGCAGCAGAGATAGTTTGTCAGCGTCTTGGTAAGAAGCCTCACTACAACCATATCCGGTGTCAATTTCCGGTATTTCCGGTTGGTTAATGTATGCTACTTGAAATCTGACGAGTTTATGATTACACAACGAAGCAGACACTATTGCAACATATGGAAGCCATGTAAGTTAAACACATGACTATGGTGTGTTTCTACCAGCGTTATATAACATTAGTACAGTATGTCTATTAATTGTCAGTGGTTCTTTTAATATGCAATGTAATGTTTATTCTAATATATTTAGGTTATTACTATTATACATTGTAAATTATTTAAATTTATGCGCATAATTATGTTTAAATATTGCCACAACAAAAATGTTACTATTATTACGTATGTCTTGTTAAGGTCATCAGTTTTCATATATTTCAAACAAAATATATTAAATACTTATTTAAAAGGGCCAGTGTTTTGCATCCAGGCTCTCCCAATAACTGAGCTATTGTAATTTCTTCTGTTATAAAGGAAATTCAATCCAAATTGTCACCAGGCATCCTTCTCATTGGGTTGACTAAACATGTCTTTGAACATTGATTTTGTTTTCACTTCAGTTGAACTGTGTATGTACTCTTTGGTAATTTTATCTATTTGCTCCCCAGGTTCAGTAGAAATGATCTTTAAACCACTGGAGCATGTTCCCAGCCTTCAGCTTTAATATGTCATTACTCACTTTTCTGGCTCTTATTGTGAAAAATTGGAGATCCAAACGTGAAAAAACACAAAAATGACTATATACACCCTCATATTTTGGCCATACAGAAAGACACATACAGTTTTTGTACTTTATTTAATAAATAACTCATAAACAGCACAGAGAGAGAACATGGTACTGAAATAAAAGGCACTTTGAAAACAATACTGTAAAGGCTTGTGTTGCACTTCAGAGGCATTTGGGTGTGAAAGCATTTCAGAGGTGATTTATGTGAAATACGCTGGATTCATTTTTACAGTCTAAAAAAAAGTAACTAACAAAACTGACTCACGCAAAAGAGTTCACCAGTTCACTGAACAAGCTGACAGAAAACATGTTTTTGGCATACTTGACAAGAACACAGGAAAGGTAAGGAAACCTGAGAGTGAGTAATAAAGTTACTGCAGTTAGCAAATACAACAACATTTCGTTAGTTAATTGCAACTTGTATCATAACTATACAAATCCTTTGATTGTTCAACATTGCCACAATTTCATAATTTTAACAAGTGGTATACAATCCCTTTGTGATAGTATATCAACAACACAAATAATGATAGTTGATATTAATATTCATCTTGTGTATTTAGTCCTTCAAGAAACTTAACAGTACTCAGCAAGAGTGCAATAAAAATTTAAACATTGGATGTTTCTAAGCTGCAGTTTAAAACTACATTTACAACTATTCACCTCTGCAGAATCTATTGTGATTCAACATAATTTTCCAATCTAAGTTGAATGCTAAATATTATTCAATATTTCCTGTTGCAGTTGTTTTCTAATATATACACACACATTGACATAATGTGCTGCTATGGCTGACAATTTACATATTAAACTCAGGTCCTGTCTGGAACACAGAAACATACAGGAAGTCAGTGCACAGAGACAAACGAGAAGAGGTAAAACAGAGACTAAATGTCTGAGATAGACAGAAGCTGAGGAATTCTTGTACATATATTGTATATCCTTATTGTCCACACTGTGTTGTAAAAAAAAAAAAAAAAAAAAAAGCTAAATCGTCTGCCCATACCAGTCCTGTGGCAGGAAAGAAAACACCATCATTTCATCAACTTCTGCAGATATGAAACTTAAAAGTATATACACATATTGTGTTCTGTACATCTAAAATACAAACAAATGCAGATAAATCATAAAGTGTTAGTAAAAATACAGATGCAGTGGCTGAATGCTACATTATAATGATAAAGCGACAAGAAGAAATGACATGAATTCCACCACAAGCCTCAGTACCCAAACAAGCTAAATACTGCAGATGTCAAATACTTGATAGCAGAGTTCATTGTGATGTTCATTATGATGTCATCATTTTCCCTCATATTTGGGATTGACCACAGTCGTGACAGCGCTTTTGTAGATGGGATTTTCACCCTGGAAAGCAAACATTAAAGGGGTCAATTACGTTTATGTTATTATAAAACAAACAGACAATGTAGCTTTATTAGTTCATGAGAAATTTTCTCTGAAACTCACCAAATCACACAGGAAAAGTGGGTTACCATTAGACACAAAAATATAACATTTTATATGCTGTAATAATCATTGAGATCACACTCAGCACACAGTCATGCCTCTGTGATAAAACACCAAATATTAGGATTCACAAATTAGGCCTCATATTCTTTAGAATATATTACTTACCAGACAAGGGTTTTTTGTCTTTGTAGCCTGTAGATATTTTATATCTTCAAACACTGAACAGGTTTTGTGCACACTCATGCAGTATGAAGGCAGTATTGCTGTTCTTTTTTGTTGAATTTAATTTTGTCGTTATAGAAGACATGTAGAAACTGAAACTCGGTGAAAGGCAAGAGAGTGCAGACAGAAACAGTCCATGCAGGAAAATCAAGTGGAAAGGAAAAGAAATACAAACTTAAAGGGCAGCAGCTCTATGTCCATAGCTTGGGTTCTGGAACTGATTGATAGGACTCTTGTATATGGGGTTTTCTTGCTACAGGTAGAGAATGAGGACAGGATAGAGTTCAGCACAGACAAAGGAAGCATAAAAGGAGAAGAAAAGCACAAATGAAGTGGGAATGGTGCAGGAAAGACAATGAGAAGAAACAGAGGCAAAGAGATGAGGATAAAAATAGTAACAGATGCCCTGAACAGTGTAAGACTTCCGATAAAAGATTTTAATTTATCTACACCAGGTTCATCATCTCTGATGACTTCCACCTCCATAAACATACACAGGAGGTATGAGATGTAGTGGTGTGCGGATCGATACTGAAATATCACTACTTCAGATTCCAAACGTTTCTGTTCTAGGATCGATTCTCACATTAAAAGATCGATACTTTAACTCTATAATTTGGGGTAACTGTGTCTCTTATCATCAACAGGGACACAGTAGAAAGTAACAACGCTATCACCCGGATCTAGTCTAAATAATACCTGGTTGATACGAACTACTTCTTCTTCCGTCTGTCATAGTCATGAACTACGGCTCTATAAATAGATGAGCCACTGAACAGAGTGTTGACATTGATGATGGCCGAACACAAACAAAGTCGTGTGTGGAACTTCTTCAGACAAAAAATGTGAATCTGGGATGTTTTGTAAAAAGGTTGAGGTAAGCGTTTTCAAGGGAGCCTGATTCAGATGCTGAAGTGTCAATTAACATGCAACCAAGTTTCTTGATCTGTAGGACATCTTGTTTTGATCTTTTGAAAGTGCTGAATGGTGCACTGAATGTATTTTTCTTTATTATTAAAGAATAAGAAAGAGCAACCTGATGTCTTATTTGAAATGGTTATAGCCGATTTATTATTTCCCTTCTCTGAACATATTAAGCTTTTGTACAAATTATTGGTATCCTATCCGTATCGGCAATACCAGCCTGGGTATTACTTGGTATCGGATCGGAAAGGAAATCAGTGGTATTGCACATCACTAATGAGTTGGGCTAATTATCTTCTTAACAACATTTTTAAACCTTAAAACAGTAAAAAAAAAACTTTGTTTAGCTTTTTTCAGAAAGATCTTTATTGTGGATGAAGATATCGAAATGTGGATCTAGTGCACTGTATAATTAAACTTTTTTTCAACTGGGAACCCTCATGGACAGATTAAATGACAGTGGACCTCTACGCACAGACATGGAAAGATAAACGTATGACAGCTCATTCACCCCACCCTTTGTATCATCAATAGTAAGTGTTTGTCTTACTTTTAAACTATTTTTATTTTTAAATTATTTTGCTGAACCTGAAATCTCAAGTTCTGTTCAGTGGCTGTATAAACCTTTCTAAATGTTCCTGCCTTGAGGGGTCCAACTTTACACAACTCTCTGAAGATATAATACAATGTTATTGTAAATCATCATGTCATCAAAGGAAACTGTATGTGCAGGTTACACAGTGTTTTCTTAATGTAGAGTTATTCTGTTGTACTTAAACTGTTTCCATGTTTCCTGAAACTTAAGTGGGCCCTGTGCAGTTGCTTAATTAGGGAAATTAACAGAAATAAATATGAAATCAGGAGCAAAGTAACCTGATTGGGAGATCCCTGCTCATGACTGAGCTCTGTTACTTTGGAAAAAGAAGTGCTAATATCAAACACTTCAAACAGAGCCTCTGGTTTTGTGGTCCCCACTGAACGTCATGGAAAAAAAAAATCATACAGCGATTATTTTGACATTGTGATTGCGATGAGTCACAATTTTAGTGGGGATGGTAAAAAAATATATAAAAATGATGATCATGTGATTTGCTGGGGTCTGTACCAAACACCCATGTTCCCTTAGACCTGGAGAATTTGATCAGTTGGCCGGGGAGTCTCTGTAGGACCACAGTGCTTCATTTATGGTATGTTGTGACACATTTTACTTTTAACAACTAGTTGCAGCTCCTGCGATTTGGTGGCAAAAGATGAGGACTGCAGGGTCGCATCCGCAAGAGAAGACATGACAGAGCTCATGCTGGGTCTTTGAAACTCCTTATGGCTGCTTTGCCTTGTTATCTTGTCAGGAAACCCAGGTCAGTCGGAGTTTCTCATTTCTCAAAATTAAAGGGATCTTTAGCCATAGGCTGCCCTGCCCATGGTAATAAGAAAGACTTAAACATGCAGAGTGGGTGCAGTGCTGATCAGGAGCATCTGCAACATCAAACCCAGACACACTGTGGGTGTGACACAGTACCGCCACTAGGTGGAGGCATATTACCGCACATAAAGTTATACTGAACTCCAGCTTCCTGTCATATTGATGTTGGCTGATGATGCTACAGAGGGGAGGAAGCATGGAGGGGAGGAGCTATGGCCACTCCTCACAAAAAAATCCAGCTATGCTCAGAGTGCATAACATTCCCAAAAAAGTCCAGTCTCTGACATTTTCCCCTTTTATTTTGAGCGCCATTCAAAAGCAACAGATCCATGCTGGTTCTGCAGCTGTGAGACTGTAGAGAATGTGAGCGAGACACTTTGAAATGATATCATCAAGTCTGTGAATCTCATCTGCTGCTACTAACAACAAATGATCTTTTCAAGTTAATTCCCTGACAGTGACTGGCTCTGCAGCCAAACAACACCTGTTTTCCACACTGAAATCACTCAAACAAACCTCAGCCAAAAACAAAAGATATTTATCCGACTCGTCTTTTACAGAGATGGTTACAGTTCCAAGCACTCACCGTATCCCATTTGGCATTCATCTTCTCCTTCTCAAACTTGGCAAACTCTCTTCTGTCATGAATGATCATCAGCAGCTTCCAGATGAGCAGTAGGGCTAAGCCAATCAGGACGATGCCAGCGACCACACCTGCTACGATTGGGATGATGTCAGGACCGGCGGGGCAGTCTGAAACACACCATGGTACAGAAGAGTGTTCAGGCAGCTTCAAATAACAGTGCAAAAATAACAAAACTGTGGAAAAAACAAACCATCACACAGCTGTACATAAATAAACAAATCGCCTATTTTCGTAACCCTACCACCACAACCCCTGTAATTAGCTCTCTCTGTAACAGCAACCTTCCACACCCTGGTTCATGTTAGCCCAGCTCTTTGCATACCCAGCGTGTCGACCACATGGACCTCCTTCTGCGTGTTGTTGTTGACAGCGTAGGTGTAATAGAACCAGCAGTCGTTGGCATCCCTCTCCTTGCAGTGCACCACTGGGTAAGAGGCGTCATTGGGCTGGGGCAGCTTGTCTCTGTCCTTCACTTTAATCAGGTTGAAGTAGCTGCATTTTTGCTCACACACGTCCTTCTTCTCACCTGTGCCAAAAGCCCGGCACTGGACGCACTCTCTGGAGGGAATGCAGTGTTGTTGTTAGTAATGAGCACTTTCACTTTTTCTGCTTTTAAAGGGTCACACAAATTACAAAAAAACATTCTCACTTTTTTATAGTTGTAGCTAATTATGCAGATTTTTGTCTTGTCTTGAGATATGTCTTGTTATTCTTGACCAAGGGTTTTCAAAGTTTGACACTGTGGTCTCCCCCACAGACAAAACTGACAACCATCCTGCAACTGCAATTATTTTGGTAATTCAGTACCAGTAGAAGTATGCCGAATTAGTTCCTGTTTGCAATATATTAATGGATGGACAGACAACGATCACTCTATTTCACTAATTAAAAATAATTCTTAGTGATAATTCTTAGGCAAGTTCTTGAGTTATGAGGAGCATCCCTTTTCTATGATTTCAAAGTGATTTTCTGGACATTAATTTGCTTGGAAATGAGAGATAATTATATCCTCTGAAAGTTTAAGTGACCTTGAATCTAAAATGTGTATCATGTCTGTGAGGCAGATCTATCATATACACATATCACCAAACTGGTACTAATATAACCAAAACTATCTATAAAGCTAGATACCTTTAGAGGAAAGAAAGAAATATCTAAATATATTTTTTCTTTGATGTGAACACATTTTTCAAATGTTTTGGAGAAATATTGGGATTTGTCAAACCGTCTAAAAGTTTTGATTTTTCTCCCTGTGGCCTGCCTTTGTATATTTTCTTCCCAGCAATACAAACTATCAAGTACATAGTGTATCATAGTAAATGCATAAAGGTTTAGGGGTAGTTTTGAACTACTGAATCAAGTCTATCTCAACTATCTCACATCTATGTCTCAGTAAAATGTCATATGCACAGTATGTTGAAAGACTTGAGGTCCCATAATGGCGATGAAGCCATACCATCCTGGAATGATTACAGTGTGAGCGATGGGGGACATACTCCACAGTCCTTGTTCTGTAAAAATACATTTGAAAGTTCAGCCAAAACTAATATGAGCTGCCAGCTGTCCGAATTAGCCAAAATGAGCGGGTATCTGTGACCTGGCAGTCATGTCTAGGTTTATTACTGGTATTGTGCCCCAGCAACAAACCTACATACGACTCCTGGGAAATATCAGATTATCTTCAGACAAATTTTGGACCTTTGGCTTTTCCCCTCCTTTATAGTTGCTCAATGAAGGCATCACTTCCTGGCCAGTTTGGAGAGCAGCAATTAAAGCAACCCTAACTTGTTCAACATACAGTACATATGGTATTTAAGTAAAGACAGACAAATTTGAGTATACATCAAAAAATGCAATACATGCCAAACTAAGTATCTCTACATTGACATGTCGTCATTTCAGACTTACTTCTGCTGAGTACAGACTCCTGGACAGGTAGGGCAGGTTTCACAAGTGGGACCCTGGAATTTGGGGTCGGTGCATTTACAGGTGCCACATTCACATATTCCTCTGCCGTTACAAATCTGCTTGTTGCTAGCCATACACGTGGTGTTGTCCAGAGAACAGTCACAGGCGCTTCCGGTCCACATCGGGTCACAGACACACACTCTGCACTCACAGCGTCCGTGCCCTAAGAATGAAAAAAAGGTATGAAAGCTTTAATGGGTCTTCTCTTTCTAAACATCCTCCTAGTAGCATTTAAAAACCTTTACTGCCGACATGAACTTCAATTCAGAGAACCAGTAGTCCTGACACACTCACCTCCACACAGTTTGTTTCCAGAGCGGTCACAGTTGAAGTTGTCACACTCGCAGTACTGGCCGCTGTACCTCTCCTCAGGGTTGTCTCTTTTCTTGCACTCACAAGTGCCGCACACACAGTCTCCATTGTTGCTGCAGATGTCAGTGCCGTTGTCTTTACGGCAGGTCCGGTCCATGTCCTCTGTAGCCACGTCGTTGCTGCTACATTCACACTGTCTGCCCACACGTCCTTCATTACACCTGAGACGAAGAGAAAGGTTGTGATTCTGAAGTGTTTCTTAAGACTAAAGCCGAAATCTGAAGACTGAATATGAGACTTGAAGGTTTTGGCTAGTTTACTTACTTGCAGGCTCCACACTCATATGTCCCGTTACCAAAGTGGCACAGTTCACTGTTCTTGACAGCCTCCTTGTGGCATTCGCATTCACAGAGGAAGTGAAGGGTAATCTCCACTTCCTCTGTGAATCCCAGGGGCTTTATCTTAATGGTCTCATGCTTGCCTTTTTTCGGACAGCCCTTAGATGTCACACTGATGCTAAATGTGACCTGTAAACATGGCAATAAAGGAAAAGAATTGTTGGGGGAAAGTGGGCAAAATAGTCAGTTTGTAGCATGTCTGTGGAAATGTCAAAACAAAGGGGTAAATAAAGGGGCTATATGTAAGTTTTCTCTGCTGGTGAACACGGTGCTGATGATAGTCGCTTACCAACAGCTTCAGTCATCATTGGATTTACAACACAAGGTTAGCATGCTAACTTCAGTAGCAGAAAGAAAGTGATAGAAATAAAAGCAAAACAAGAGTCAACATTGGCAATGCTACTTCTAGACTGGTAAGAAAATAGCTATGCTAACGTTGGCTAAGTAACAATAGCAAAAACTTACATATAGCACCTTTAAGGTTGTAGGTGTTTAAGGTAATTGTCGGGTTTCCACATTATGTCATTGCAAGATGTGTGTGCAGAGATGTGAGTACCCATCTATAGGTAAAGCCAAGGTGCACAACAATGAGGAAGAAAGACAAGTCCACTTAAAACTGACTGTTGCAATGATGCTTGGAACTGCAATTATGACCAATGCAAAAACCAAAATAAAGAAAATAGAATTCTTAACGGCCAATATAAAGTTTATCTCTAACATGTCAAACTGCAGGATACTACGAGTCCTGTTGTGTAATACTGAGAAACCGCTCATTGCAGGGAACTACAACGCATGTCATTTTAAAGCAGTAACTTTAGCTGAACAGTGGCCACAGAGACCAAAAGAAACAATTACAGGAAAATGGTAAAGGTTATAATGAAGCTTAACAGTAGCACATACTGAGAAGTATATTTAAATCAACAAACCAACTAAGCAATGTCTGTGACACACTAATATCTACATAAAGTTTGCTAATATTAGCTAACATTAGCCATCATAACCTTCTGATTAAACCAAACGAAAAATAAAACGGTTGCAGCAAAAACTCAGGAGTTTGTATTGTATATGTTGACAACTGATTAATCATCAGCTACTCATCAGAGCCATTCTCCATTCCTCACCTCATCTCCGATGGAGATATTGGAGCACCTGCGTCCATTTTCGCCTTCACTAATCACCCCATTCTTACAGCGGGACGTGTAAGCTATGGTCACGCCCTCTGGAAGCTTGCTGTTCTCCAGAATAACCTCGGAGGAGAGAGACTGCCAAAACCAAAAGATAACAACATGAGTTCTTAGTTCTTAGTTCCTGCACTAGAATGTCATCTAGTAGCTTTATTTTGACAGCTTATGATACACAAAGGCTTAACAGAGCATTAAATGAGAATATGTTTTTAGAAAAACCTTTGCCTGTTCCAACTCAGTGAGAGGACTGAATAGTTCAATGTCGTTTACTGTATGTGAGTAAAATTATTACCAAACTAAGGCTTAAAGTGAACAATCTCAACAGTGTACTTACATTGTAAGCGTCTATAATAAGGTTGATTACATTGCTGGAGTTGGCAGACAGAGTGCCCACTGCAGACTTTGGTATCAGATTTTTCAGTTCCTGAGAAGAGGAGAGAAGTTTAGAACAAAGCTTTATCAAAACTCTGCTAATCTTATGATCTTTGGAATCTCCATTAGCAACAACACAGGACCAAGAAAACTTTGAGAGAATGTTTTACCAGCTGCAACACAAAGGCATCACATTGGAGCCCAAGAATATTCTGGATTAATTATTTCATTCCAGATTTAGATGAAATCGACACCAATTTCAACTGAGATTTTTCGCTGTCAGGCATATTGAGACTACTGTGTGCAGACATAATAAAAGAGCTGATCAGACTCAGATGGAGCTGGGTTAAACCGGCCAGAACAGCAACAGTATGACAGAAGGAAGTAATCAGGGCTTCCATTAACACAGCAGATGTATCAGCCCAGGTGGATATTTTTACACACTGGGCATCTTCCAAAAGCACACATGCACAAAGAAGGAATGAGGAGTATGCTCAAAAAGAATGGGATAAAAAAAAAAAAAAATGAAGTAAGAGTTTTGGATTGTAAATACTTTTTCAAAATGAGACTAAAGGGGAACTAACTTGGTAAACAGGCTGGAACTCCTCTGTGACTGCAAAGATAGTCTGGATGTTGTTGTCGCTCAGCTTCTGGACCAGGTGAGCGATGGAGGGATAGTCCTTAAAAAGAAGTTGGAGGAGAAAAAAGAAGTCACACACTGTCAACACAAGCTTTACCCAGAAAGAAACCTTTAAAAATCAGTTGCAACAACATTGAACCACTTACATAATAGTGGCTCATCGTGTAAACGTTGTTCTCCAAGTGACATTTTCCATCGTTAGGCAGCACAATGCCGCCCAGTTTGCCATCTCCAGCAAAGTGGAAGCCGGCATCGGTGGAGAAGACCAGCAGACGAGTCACATTTCTCCAACCAATCTGGTCCTGATCAACGAGAAAGAAATAATCAAATTATTAGTAAAATGTGTTTCCTACCAGTTTTATATCAGCACTGTAAAGACTAAGAAGGTTTATGAGCTACTCCTAATGTGACACATAAACTTTTGATTATCTAAGCATCCAAAAAATCACCTAGTAAAGACAGGACTCATAAAACACCTTTTCACACATCACCACATAAACACATTTATTAGTGCTGCATACCTCCAAGCAAGTGGAAAAATTACCTTGAATTGTGAACCTGTGTGTAAATATTTCCAAGCATTTTTTTTGTTGCTTACCCCACACACAGCCACTTGCATGATGGCGTCAAAGCCCCCCTCAGGAGAGTCCAGGTTTCCAGAGATGTGCTGCTGGCCGACCAGGGTGTTGAACCTCTTGCCATCGCTGGTCAGCTTCAGGACGTTCTTGTAGCTGAAGGGGCTGGTGCAGTTCTGATCGCCTGTGCATGGGTTCCGCAGCTTGGCCGGGGTGGTGCTGATGTATGGCATGACCGTCTTCTCCACAAAGGAACCAAAACCTTTGAAACACAGATGGAGTCAGTTTTATTTTCATCCACTTGCACACAGTAAGTGTCAGTAGGTGAAGTACTGGGTAGAGGCTTCAAAAGAGCCTGGGTTTGGGTGTCTGGTGTAAGGGTAAGCTGACACTGCATGAATTCTGAGGAGGTCAACAAACTCTCAAGTGTTTACTTCTTTGGTTTGTTTGTGCAGGTCAGACCAAGGTCATTCAAACCTGGGTGGCACTAAATACCCACAACAAGACGCCTGAAAATACAAGTCGGTTACTCAACTACAGGAGTTTTAAAAGTGTGACACGGTGCACCTTAAGACAAACATGACACAACTGCGCCCCCATCCCACACTGCCCCACCCGAACCCCCAAAACACCACCCCCAAGTCTCAAATTAAAATTGTTTGAGATGTCTGTTTGTACACAGCTTGTGGAAAGCATTAAACAGTATCCATGAAAAATGTATATTAATGTATTTTGTCAGTCCTTTTATTCTTTGTCTTACCTCTATTTGGGGGATAATCATGCTCTAATTTTCGAAACAACAACAGTTCCCAAAATGTGGGGGCATTGAGGGTTATAAACAGGAAGTATAATGTTGCTATTGAGACAGTTAGTTACTGAGCCCTGTTTTTATAGCCTATATTTGTTTACATTTTGGCAAATGGGCATTATTAACAGTATGCTGAATTTGCCGTTAGGAGTTCCCATTTGCGATGTAGCCACAGATGTTCGAACAGCTATCACTGATTAATTTTGATACTGAAAAAAACTTTAAATCCTGATGATTCTCAGAGAGGTTCTGGAGTTATAAGGAATGTCTCTTTTCTATAATACTGATGCTGATTTATGGATCTTTATTTACAGTGAACATCAGAAATGGCAACCCCTTAAAGGATTCTAAGCATTTGCATATCGTGTCTGCGTGGTCAGATTTGGCTGGTATGACTCAGAAGGAGTACAAAGTTTGATGCAGTATCTTTGCCTTACATCCCATCCTCCTGTAACCTGCTGCTGAGTCACATCTCATACCTCAGTTTGAAGAACTGGTAACTGGAAATGGCCCCAAAACAGTTTGAATTTTTTCAATTTTTTTTTGCAGTGGAAGTATAGAAACACTGTGACTTTTAGTTAAAGGCCTAAAGTCAGTGGACAGTTTTAAAAAGCTGTTAAAAACTCACTTGTATTGTAAGCACTTTGTTTTTTCACGTTTTGCCTTCTGTGCAGTTTTATTTTTCTAAATAGTTACTTACTGATTTTCTGTTTTAACCTTTTTTAAAAAAAAAATTTTCTTCTATATTTATTGTTTAGCCCCTTATAACTTGTTTCCCTTTTTTGCTTGTATGAGGCGGCTGTATGAACCAAATAAAAAAACATAACAAAGGAAACCTTTCATTTCTTTTCCCCAGAAAGAAACAAATCAAATATGATCACATCCAATGATGAAACTCCTCACCTATCCTGAAGTCTGAGGTGATCTTTGACATCTCCACCATCAAACTGGTTCCGAGGTTCTTGACGTTCTCCAGATCATCCTTCATTGAGTAGGACAGGTCCATCAGGTAGTACAGGTCGATGGGATAATCTTCTGCTCGTTTGAACTTCAAGTCAAATGTCTGGGGCTCACCTACATGAAGTGACCATAATTAAAAACTCTGGAGCGTGATTGAGGTAAATGAATCTAAATATGTCTTCAGAAAGAATGGCACCTTACCGGATCGGAGGGTGAGATTGAGTTTCTGGGGCTGGATCTGAGTAATTTCCTCTGGCTTCAGTTTATCTTGTCCCTTTCTGCGATTTGTCACCATTTTGTTCTTGAGGATCCTCCGTTCCCCATGTGGGTTCTCGATCATCTGCTCATCACAGCCCCTTTTTATCAGAGATTGCAGCTCGTCACAGCGGGTCGACACGGTTTCACCCTGTTTCAGGAAGTTCTAAGAGCAGCAACACAGGGAGAGTTAAAGGGTAAGTCCATCAATTTTATAAGTGAAAATCTGTTTATTTGTCATAAGGAGTAATACACAGTTTTTGAAAGCTGTTATAAAACATCTTTTGTGGCTCTGCAGGAGCTGTGTCAACTCTGAAAAAGTAACTTTGATGATGCCATCAGGATTATCTCAGGGCTTGGAGACTACAAATTTACAACATAAAGCCTGGGTTACAATCTAGAGGCATTGGGCGCAAGACATGGTAGAGAGGGTGCAACAAAAGACACTTTTGTTTAGGACCTAGTGTTTTTGGTGCATAAAAGTAATGATATTTTGGATTCTCCCGCCTTGTTTCTCGCAAGTTCTCAAACTTTATGAAAGGAAAATATAAAATTGCAGGAGTCAAGACAGGACAGGGCTGGACCTGACATATCTAGAGCTGGAGTAAATCTGCCTGCATCATCAATGACAGTCATTTTATCATTTCATAGCTGGTTAGTTCAGAAACAATTTGCCAATTTGTTGATAACATTCTCAGAAAATTAATTGACAACGATTTTTGTTAGTCAATTAATCGCTAAGTCATGTTTGAAGCAAAAATACTACAAATAAGATGTGAAAAGTGTCTAAAATGAAATGTTATACTTTTCAATTTAGGACAAAACATGTTATTTGAAGATGTCCCTGGCCTTTGGGAAACTGTGATGGCTGTTTTTCATTTTTCTCAGATTCTCAACAATTCATCAGTTACTCTACAAAAATACATCAATCAATGATTCTGCAGCTAAACTATATGCTTACTATCGCTCTATTCCTATTGGCATCATCAAACTGTGTATCTCAGCAGTGAATATAGCTGACAGCTTTGATTCACGCACTGGGTCTTTACACCAGCCACATTTGGCTCCGGCCTGGATGCACTCCCCGCAGTATTTGGCGTTGGCATTGATGCACTCGTTCCCCTCTGCATGGAAAACAAAGAGAGAGGAGGAGGCAGAATCAGAGCGAGCAGTGGTACAGCGCCGTCCCTGCAAAGTAAGCAGCCTGTTAAGCCCCACATGTTTACACATCAGTTCATGTGGAACACCGTGTGGCTCAATGGTAATTGGAGACAGAGACAGAATATTCCGTCTTTTCCATTATCCTCTATGCTCCGTGATGCTGAGGTGGTAGCTCCACTGGCCCTGATCAGAGACATCATTAGGCTAAAGTAGCTGGCCTCGCTCTCCAGGGAGGGAGACATCATTATAAACTGTAGATTCGCTATGCAACCTGACATCAGCGAAATGACATCATGCGACAGAATAATGATGTTACAGCAATTTGTAAGGCAATACTGTTTTAACGAAATGGAGACTCTTACCTTTCTGAGCGTTACTATAAGAAAAGACTCCTAACAATGTGGATAGCAAGAGCAGCTTCAGGTCCATCTGAAAACACACACAAAAAGAGATCATTTTAACGTGTTGTGGTCTGAAAAACACAAAAAGAGCCACTGTTGTTTTGAACAGCAATATGTCATTTGTGACTATGTGTCTGTGTCTCTTTGTTAACAATAATATCTGGCACGCTTGGTAGTCTAGCCTGAATGCTTAAATTCATAACTTCCAGGACAAAAGGGTCCAGAAGAGCGAGAGAGTCACAGAGATGAAAGATCGTAAATGGCTTGGTTATAATTGGAGGTAATAAATTATCCAGTGGCAGGGGCTCAGCTATTCTCAGTCAGCTAATTCAATTCAGACCACTTTCACACGCAAGTATGTATGCATGCACACACACAGACACACACACACACAGTAACATCAACTTGCCCCTAGCTTGGACTACAGGCTCCTTTTTCCCACAACCCCTTTTACTGTAAATAGCACTGACTCCCTCGAGTCACCCCCTCTCTTTTTCATGTATATTGATCCCTTGTCTGTGCACAGGCCTTTTGGTCAGCCATATCAATACATCTTGTCCTACTCCTAATGCAAAGCTCATGACTTACTAATGATACGGGGACTGCAGGGCCTTTCTCTGTACTTAACGGCTGATTTGTGACTGTGTACAGCTGGTAGCAGCTCCGTGAGACTGTGCTTAGACATAGTAGTGCTTTGAGCTAAAGCTCGCTAACATGATTACATTGATGATGCTAACATGCTTATGTTTAGCACGTATAATGTTTTCTGTGATCAACCAGCTTGGCTTAACATTTGCTAATTAGCACTAAACAAAAATTATAACTAAAGCGGGTGTGACTGTCATCGTTTCGCAGGTATTTGGTCACAAACCAAATAAATGGACAAACAATTCATCCTAAGGGGAACATGAATGTTTGTACCACATTTTATGGATATCCATTCTATAGTTGCAGACTTAATTTCGGTCTAGACCAAAGTGGCTTCACTTCAAATCACACACTACGGAAAGTCAGAGGATCAACCTCTGGGGACCATGAATAGCACAAAATTTTGTGCCAATTGATTCAGTAGATATTTTGCAAGATAAATTAAAACTGTGACATGCTGGTGCTGTTAAATGAAACCCAAAAACAAGTTAGGAGATCACAAACAGTAGGTTACACCCTTTGGGGATCATGAATGTCACCAGAGGGGAAAATATCAATCTATTTCATTCTATTGAACTGTTTCAGAGATATTTCAGTTGACCGAAGGCCAACCAACCGCCGACACCATGATCCATAGATACTTGCATGGCAAAAAAATGATAATTTCTACATTACTGCTGCTGCCTTAAAATATTTTAAATAAGCAACAGCTGCGAAGGCTCCCACAGAGAGACACGGCACTAATGACCTGATGTTATAAAGGTGCACTGGCCAGCAAGGGAACAGCATGTGAAGAATCTAATTAACATATGGAACGTAAAAGCAGTATCCTGAATGACTGTGAATCAGAAACTCATGGGAGTAATTTCTAATAGAAACTCCACAGTAGCTAATGTCTGCCACACTGGATATTAAAGCACGAGGTTCAAATTAGAACCAGGCAGACGGCGATAAAGTGACAAAACCTTTTTTTTCAGTGTTAACTTTTTTAGCACAGTGGCTGTGGCTATTCGCAGAAGCTGCATTACAAGACCGCGTTCCCTTACACTGTGGTAAAGGAAGCTCTGACGTTCAGTGTATGTGGTGTTGAGTGATGCATTCCTGAGTGCCTGTGTGTGGGGCAGTGTCCGTTTATATAGACACACAGGGGTAGATGGCCTGTCTACAGCCCCCCAGATTAGATCAACTGGCTTCAATCTCTGCTGCTTTACATGGGTGCTGTGTGTGTTAGTGTGCGTATATTGTGTTTAAATACCACATCTAACCTGGCTCTGCCACAGCACCATTGCCAAACTGAAGCAAACAGACTTTCAATAAAGCTGTCACAAAATGTATTTGATCTGTGTGAGACAGGTATGAACATTGTGAGAGTTTGTGATACAGCACAGTAGATGTACTGTATGCAAGTGATTAAAGTGAACACAGAGCTTGAAATGAAGGAATTCAAGTTCACATTCCTCTTATAACAAAACCACACTATTTCCTTTTCATTCCTGCTGGGGTTTCAACTTCAGCTCCATTTTGCAGTTCCAAGGAAACATTCAAATGCAAACTACGTCTATAAAAGTCCAGAGAGGTGTCAAGTTAGAAAAACAGCCATGTTGTCTTTATACCGTGAAGCTTAGCAGCTGCAAAGAGGAATGTTCACAAAAAAAAAAACAAAAAAAAAAACACCATGGTAAAATATAGAGATGAGGACAGAGAGCAGGCCAAGAGAGAGCTGGGATCAGGATGTTAAACTGCCTTCAAGAGCCCCTGAATCTCAGAGTTCACAAGTCGTAAACACAATGTGGTTTTGGTTACCTGTACTATTTTAGACGTAAAAATGATGTCCAACTATTTGTGCCATTATTTATTTTTAACACATAATCTAAACCAGTGGTCTAGCCGATTCATATTTGTCAGTGATTACGCACATCAGAAACTTTATATTTGACAAATGTACCCGTCTGCTCCAGCTTTCTCTGTTTTAAAACAGAGACCAATGGGACAGTTGTTTGGCCTTCAAAAACTGTGATCAAGAGCTGTCACTAACAATTATTTTCATTATCAACTAATCTAATGATTATCATTTTTTTTTATCATAGATTTGATCCTTAATAATCAGTAAACAACTAAAGTATATAACTAAACATAACTGACTTTCTGTACAGCTTTGACTCCTGTCATCTGCAGAAGTCTTCAACTGAAGACTTGAATGTGGCCAAGACCAAGGAGATGGTTGCGGACGACCAGGATTATGTTAAATACCATATCCATTATTGGAGGAGGTGGTGGAGCCCACTTTGACAACAGAGCAGACTCTACTTGTTGAAGAAGCTTAAGTCCCTTAATATGCGCAGCAATATGTTGCAGATCTTTTACTGGTCTGTTGCAGCCAGTGCAGTATATTTGCCCCAATCTGCTGGGGCCGCAGCATCAGAGCCAGTGACACCAACAAACTGAACAAACTGATCAGGAGGGCTGGCTCTGAGCTGTGGACTTCTCTGTAGCCCTTGGAGTTGGTTGTGGAGAGGAGGATGCCGCACAAATACCATGGATGTTTGTGCAGCATCCCCTCCACAGCTTACTGGTCAAACATCACAGCACTTTCAGTAACAGACTTCTTCAGCTCTACTGTGACACAAAATGCTACAGGAAGTCATTCCTGCCAGCTGCCATCACACTGTTCAATGATTCTCCTCTGTGTTGGGGGAGGGGACAGAGTGCTGGACTATTTATCACATTACGTATCACATCTGTTAAATGTCTGATTAATCTGCTCTTTCAAGTTCTGCTCTCGATACATATACACCTGACTTGCACTAATGTACAGTGTATAATATTACCACCATTGTATTGTGTATATACAGCACACAGTATAGCTATGGGTTGATTTTTTTCTATTTTTTCTACTTTCTCTATTTATTTTTTCTACTTTATTTAATATATTATATAGAATTTAGCCCTTAGAAAATTGCAGTGTCTGTTATTTACCTACCTCATTGTTTTTGTGATTTACATGAAGTGGTTGCTGTAACACTGCAACAATAAAGTACTCTTTCTATCCATCTCTCTTTATCTATATAGAATAATAGAAAATTGTGAAAAATGCATATCACACTCTGAAACCTAAAGATATTCTGTTTAAAATGATACAGAACACAGCAAATCAGCTAATCCTCACATGTAGCTGTAACCAGAGAATACTAGGTTATTTTGCTTAATAAATAATCGACTAATTTATTAATACTTGCAGCTCTACTTTGATCAATTTTGGGAGGAAAAAAGTATAGTGAGCCACGTCTTTATATGCTGAAGTGTGTTTATGCCTTGATATGGTATGACAACTAAATCCTGCTGTTTATCAGATCCTTATATTGCAGATGAGGTATAATTGGTACATTTAAGCAGAAAACTGCTGAGAAGATGTACGATGTAGAATAAGACGCATGCAGGCAGACAAAACATGGTTTGCAACCTGCTTTTTATGGTAGATAAATATGTGAGTGACCGTCCAGTGAACTTGGTGCTTCCTTAAAAGGGTATTTATGCCAGTTTTTGAAGGATGACATGACTTCTCAGCTGGACTGTGTAGAAGTCCAGTGAGAAGCTAGTAAATCTGTGATGTATCCTTCTTGGCTGAAACATAATGAGATTTGAATCATTATACAATACAGTTTAATGCACTGGTAAAAAGTGAAACAGAAAGGTACACAAAGGTTTAATACCTAGTAAAAAAAAAAACAATGCCACTGAAACAATTGTCACTCCACTGGGTCCCGGCTCCAAATTAAGTACACTGACTTTTGCAGTGGCATTGGCCATTTTTTTTTTTATTTTTCCAAAGCTGCAAAAAACAGAATTTGCAACAGTCCCCTGACAACAGCCTTAAACTTCCCTCCTCTGTGGGAAAAGCTTCTAGGAACCATCATGCTCAGGAACAATATCCACATTTTGAAGAAGCACGATAATGCCAAGAAACATTATCTTGTATTACTGAGTGAAATAAAGATGAATAATACAGTCAGTTTGATGTATGAGGTTTGAAAAGTGCACGCTCCAATAAGTTCACATTCATAAACAGCTTGAATATTCTGATAAAGATAAATTCCAGCCAGTTTACTGTCAACAGCAAGACAGAGCTGTGCTGGTTATTCTCTTAGCTCCCACGCTCTTCCTGTGTCTGCCAGTCAGACACCAGCATGCATGCACATTTTACTCTTCAAAGCCTGCCCACTTGTCACCCACACCTGAGCTGTGACTAATAGCAGCCCAGTGTTTTATGAGCTCTATCAGTTGGCAGGAGAAGGTGATGCATGGCAGACACTGTGGTGCGTGACTAAAACGGGCCGAGCCTCTCAGGCATTCCTGAGGGACTGAACACTGCCTGACCAGGAT